GGGGTCGGGCGGGCCGTCCCGCGCCCCAAATCGGGCTGAGCACCTTCTGCCGGTGCTTGCTTTCACACCCGAGCCGGAGCGCGGGGATCCCGGCAAAGAGGGGCTCTGCCGAGCCTGGCGCTGCCTCCGAGCAGTGCCTGAAGGGACGAGGGGAGCATTTCGGTCACCCGGTCACTGAGGACTGCGCTTAGGCCGGTGGGCATTTTCCTGCGGGAGCCTCCCAGGGACGCACAGGGGTACCGCTGACAGCATCGCACAGAGCGCTTTCCAAAGACACGCACACCACAGCCAGAGGTAGTGCACATGTGCGTAAATAAGCCCGCACGCTCATGCAGGCAGCGTGTTTGTGTGGATCCCGTGGGTTCCCGTGCCCCATCACGGGATGGGGATTGCAACTCCCCTGGCACACGGAGCAAACAGGCTCATGCAGGAAGGCGTGCTGAAAACCAGAGGGGCACAGAGAGCCACCTACAAAAGGAGGGTCTCTCTGGCACGCGTACACACTCACACACGCAACATGTCCGTACGTGGGATCCGGGCCACGACTTGGAAGCAGTTGCGGAGGTCGATGCCCCAGAAGGCAGGTGTGCACGGGGGGGGCACGTTTAGACAGGGCACGCGCGAAGATGTGCAAATCTACCTTGTTGTGCGTGATAGGTTAGGGAAGTAGCGGAGATGTGGTCCCGCACCATACACGACTGTGCAAGCGGGGAGCCTTTGTCTGTATCATTGGACAGAAATCGGTGCTTGAGCTTGATCTCAGTCGTAGGTGACGAACCGGAAGGTGGCAAATTTGAGCTGTTTGGAGTTTTTCCCTTCCTTCAGAAAATGTCAGCTTTTAGAGCCAAAACTTGAAAGCTGCCAACTTGCAGCTCACACCGGTCGGCCATAACTCCCTTATTCTGTTGCGGGGACGGCTGCTGACTGTATGTCCTCTCGGACACCGCTGCTGCGGCTGCATCAACCAGCAACCTGGAGAGGAAGCAGGGAAGGCAGGAAAGAAGGGAAACAGCCCTAAACCTGATTTCCCCTTGGCTCAGGACCAGGTGGGGCCATGTCCCCAGGGATGGCACACTGGGGATGAATGCAGGTGTGTGCAGGGACTGAGGGGAGGGGGGGACGACACAGAGGAAGGGAAGAGTCTGGCCAGCTGTGTGCACAGCTGGAGGGTGAGCTTAGGAGGGGCGCAGAGCTACTCTGACCGCTTCTCTCTCTCTCTCTCTCTCCTCAGCCGTCCCGTTTTATGGAGCTGTGGGCCGGGGCCAGCCCAGCTCCCCTGCTGCCTCCTGGCGATGCTGCTGGTCCCGGTGTGGAGAGACCCTTGGCAGCCCCGCGGGGCCCGAGCGCCGAGGCGGCAGCGGCGGCGGCCCCCCTGTGCGCCCCGGCTGACTACTATGGCCGTGTACTGCTATGCGCTCAATAGCTTGGTGATGATGAATAGCAACAGTGAGGT